AGCTAAGACGGTACAGGCGGGGGGAAGGTGTCCCGGGCAACCGTTACAGCGGAGGATCAAGCTGTTTTTAAAAGTTGCCCGGGGGGTGGTATTAAAAAGTCGGCTCTGGCTCCGACGGCTCCTCGTCGCTGCCGCAAAGTTTCCCCCGCTACTCGCGGTTTGCGTACGTCACGCGTGTGCACGTAATTCATGCCACGTGGACGCAGAGGACGAACAAAACGAAATAAGACGCAGGAAGTAAGAAAAAAGTTGGCACGGGTCGAGCTGTTTTTTTTTTTTTTTTTTTTGATTTCGCTGCGCCGAGGAGACGAGCGCGCGTGTAACCCCGGGGTTTTTCGAGGGGGTTGATAACTAAAAATTTTCTAGGTTTACGAGCGGGCGCTCCCGCCACCGCGCAGCCCCGACTACAGTAATGAAAGTGGCGTGCGCGTGTATTGTATGTGTGTGTGTAACGGTACGGGACGCGAGTGCTCGGGGAAAAAAGTTTTTGGGGGTAAAAATTTTTCAGACGCCTCGGTGGGTGCATTATTATACCTCCAACGCCGGTAGGTATTATGCGAGGACTATCAAATTTAAGTAGTTTCGCGGGACAGGATTACGAGCTCGCCCGGTGATATCCCACACCCCACCCCCCTCCGCGTACACACTCTGTGCTCCGTGAGCAAAGTTGCAGGAATAAAAGTTTGATGCCGCATGGGCGCGGTTATAAGAGATGTTTTTTTTTTGTTTTTGCGATAAACGCGCTCTAACTGTATACACTTTTGCTTGAGTTTGTCGCGAGCGTGTATTTGAACGGGAGGATTGACGATGTCAATGGTTGGTTTGGTCGAGCGAGTTGATTGACTTTATTTTTTTGGCATTTATCACCACTTGGATTATCTACCTTGAGTGTAAGACTATGAAAATCGTGTCGAGTGTGCTCAAAATTAATGCATCGTGCAATAGTCGAGGTGTGTAAAAGCGAGCGCCATCGGGCTAATGGAAATTTAGATTGATGGTCGGTGTTTTATTAATTTCCATCAATTTAACTTGTGTTTGTTTATAAATTTGTTGAAATTAATAATGTTTGTTATAGGTGTACATGTAGTTGAAAAAAGGTTTAATTTGAAAATTTTAAACGGGACTTTCGTTACTTGAAAAGTTAATAAATGACAAGATGAAATTTATTTTTAATAATTATCCCAAAAACAGTGAAATTATGGAGAGCATATTTATAGTAATAGTCTAATTGGCATATTTTTAAAAAAATTGATAAGAGGTCACTCTTGTACATCATTAGCAATAAAAAATAAAATAGCACGGTAATACATTTAAGTAATTTGAACTCAATTATTTTACAGTACCTTTTGAAACTTCAACTCCGCATCAAAGTACGAAACTTCGTTTTATTGAAAATTCACTACGTACTTGCAGTAAATTTGCCTTTAAAACTATAATCGATTGATTGTACTTACTCGTCCAACAATATTTGCCCATTTGTCCATTCCAATAAAATTTCTCAAGGGTTTATGGAAAAAAGGGGTGCTTAAATGGGAAGTTATTAAAGTTTTAGAGTTAAAAAGATGATCGTGCTCTCACGGTAAGGATAAGTGGTCTGAAAATTTTGCTCGGAATCGCGTGAAACTCCACACGAAGGGTCTCTTTGATCGATCTAATTTTTAACTCTATTAGCACATAAGAACATCAAGATTCGAGTTTATCAAATGTTCGATGTCACGTAAAATATTGGTACACGCAAACGCGAAAGCAAAATCAGACATCACTCAAATATTAATTATTGATCCATTAATATTAATAGTTGTAACTCAAGAAGTAAATGTTTCGCATTTTATATAATAATAACAATTGTGGAAATCTCTTCAAACACCCGTTGGCATGGACATGAAAAACATTAATCAGGTCAATGTGTTGTAAAATACCATTATACTTTTCGCGAAATTGCGTCGAAGTTGTATACCGGCCGATCGTTGCGGAATAAAAACAAAGTGACGGAAAACCAATAATCTGACCGATATTTTCTTAAAAGCATTTCAACGACGAATCTGGTATGGGAAGGGGGGGTTGAAAAAAACGAAAGTTTTTTTGTTTGTTTCAAACATTAATCGCCATAATGATTTCCCATCGATGGGGAGTTGATGAAACGCGTTTAATTGACGAAAAAAGTGGAGGAGAAAAAGTTATCCCAATAACTTTTGAAAATTCTCGCTCGAGTCTTTCACTCTGGAATTTTTATTATAAACGCCAAAGAAAAACGCACGGGAGGGAGGTAGAAAAAGGAGAAAAAGCATCGGCGAATAAAATGAAAGACGTGCCTTTTAGCGCAAAGACAGCGAGAGAGTTGTGCATCGCGCGTCTAGTTTATCTTTTTTATTTCTCTTCCCTCCGAGTGACATTGACTCTCGCGAAAAAAGCTCGCGTCTGTCGCAGCTCCCTCTCGGATCCAGAGCATCTTAAATTTCAATACCCGGAATCTTTTAAGCCGTCACCGGGAGCTATCTCCCCCCGCGATATGCAGTTACAGGGGATGGGGTGCGGAAAAAGCTCCGGTGTCTCTCTGGCGCTCCTCGCGACGATTTACTTTCGTTTCCCAACCGTTGTACAAATAATGCAAGCCCTTGCGAGCGTCACTCGCGTGCACGTAGTAAACTCTCGGGGCGACAAACGAGCTAGGTTGAATGGCTCGTTAATGACACCCACCCACCCCTCTCGGCTCGAGGGCAAAGAGACGGAAAAGCTTCGAGCTTGCGGAGGCCGACGATACCAGCCTCTCTCGAGCTCTTTTGGTTTCAATGAGTCGAGGCTCTTATCAATTCCGTTTTCGCGTCCACTCTCTTTCTTGGTTTACACCCACAACAGTGGCACACGCGGGTCGAAAGAGTTTGCATGCACGCGTATCGCAGTGGAAGAGAGAGAGAGAGAGAGAAAGGGTCGAGGGTAGATTTTGTTTGCCAACAGAGAGCCGCAGCTGCGTGGCAACGATAAGAGTCGTCGTCGTGGGGAGCTTTTCCGCCGCTTTCCCTCCCCCCGTGTCGCCGAAACGGAGTGGTCCTTGCCGGGGCGGGGAGGAGATTCAAGAGGCCTGATACGCGCACCTCGCGTTACACCCACACCGGGAAAAATAGGAGCGCTCCCTTCCTCGCCGATGGCCAAACAGAGTGTATGGAGCACTCCCGAGCACCCCTTTTTTTCTAACATCCCGCGCTGCCGATCCTCTTCGGAAGGGGCTGGGGGAGGGATGGGGAGAGATAAATTTACTTTTCCATTTTCTCCGTTTATTCAACGCGCGAGCTAAAATTACGAGCACTAGCGAGGAGAGGTACGTGGAGATGGGGCTCGGGAAAAAATAAGGGTCCTCCGTAATAAAGTCCTCAGAATTATGCGCTCGGGCGGAGGCTGCGATTAATTAGAGCGCCCGTGTTTAGATTGTGTCCAAGGGGGGGAGAGGCCTGCGCCGTTACGACTGAGATACGGGAGTTGTTAATTATTCAATCAGATAGCGCGTGTATTCATTTTCGGCTTTTCTCCCTCTGTTGTCCCTCTTTGTTGGCTCTCATTTGTCAGAACTGGAGGTACCCGTGGATGTATATTTATATGTGGGGCGTTTCATACGAAAAATCTCTGATATTCCGATGGATAAGTGGGATTTTCCAAATTTTGATTATCATCGCTCTCCCAAGGTCCGATCGATAATTTTACATTTTTGGGGAGGTTCATCACTTTACAAGGCCTAAAAGAATACAGTTTGAGCATAAATTAATGCAAATGTATTGTTTTGTAACGTAAGAGACACACGTGGAATAATATATATATAATTTCTGTGCAATGACCCACATTCGTTCCATCGATCCACGTGTGTGCGTGTGATTCGTAAAGATATATTACATATATACGTAAGCAAACAACGCATCGTCGAAACATCACGTACTCTATACATGTATGCGTATAATATGCACGTTGCATTTATAGAGATGCTGAGATATGCCATTATTATGTATATACACGCGAAATTATATACAATGGCCCATTATCGCAGTGAGCATTTAATTGCGAATATCATTGCAAGAGTATGAAATCAATTTTCGTGTTTATATATTATTATTTTTATAATCATTCGGAATAAGCAAAACTCAACGGTTGTATTTATATCGATGAATACACATTGTCATCGGGATTAATTAGCTGCCGAATCGACGTGTTCAAAGTCACGAGCCAACATAGTTTATTACACGTCGATGACAAGTAAATAATGCATATATCTACGTGTTAATGAGCAAATCATCCATTTTTAATTATACTAATGTTATCAATCAGTACCAAATGGATCGTCAACGATGATCTCTGTTTTGTGCACTTGCAATGAGGTACGATAGCACAATCGAGCACGTGGTGAAGAAAAAAAAAAGAAATTGCGAAAATCCCCCGTCGTATAGGTGTTATGGTTATATCCCATGAATGTTCTTTTCGACAGCACAATGGTGGCGCGTGACCTCGAAGCGAAATTCAAAAAGGCTAAAGGAAAAAAAAAAAAAAAAAAAAAGAGCTCTACGTACACGAGTGCCCGTTTGGCCCTCCACAGTTGTACACCGATACACCCATTTATACGGAGGGGCCATTATTCCCCGGCACAAATACCTCCTCCGCCAAGGCGTAAAAGCACTTTATCCTCCTACAAGCGTACACGCAAGCGCGGGAGGCCCGCAACATCGAAATGGCCCATTCAGCGTCGCGAGCGAGCGATTCCTCCTTGCTCCCATCCCCATAAATCGAGATCCCCCCCCCCCTACGTACTCCCCCGGCACTTGTACGTATGGCTGATATGGCCTACTACCATGCCTGACTTTGGATTTGCCGTCCCCCCCCCCTTTTACCATAGCTGTACGTACAAGGGACGAGACACGAGTCGAGGCCACGGCATAGGAATTGCTTGCAACGAGTAGGGAACGAGTTGTGTACCCCCCAGTAAAACAGTGGTAAATTATGATGGCCCGTGTGTGTTGCAGAGGCGCGAGCCAGGATAATGGGCGAGCAGGACATCATGGTGAACCCGGGGAGCACGCTTACCCTTACCTGCGTCATGTCCCAGGGACCGCACAACCTCGGCACAGTCAATTGGTTCCGGGGCAACGGTCAAATCATGACCTCGACCATGGCGGATAACGAAGTCGAGCCCCGCATCATCGTTGAGACCAAGTGGAGCGACGCCCTCACCTCCAAGTAAGCCCATTCATCCCTCCACTGGGACGCAAAGGGAAACAAAACCTGTTTTTCCCTGCTTTTTTCTAATTAATTGTAATTTGATCCAATTGTCGTGGGCTTTGCTTGATCCTTAGAGATAAACTTGACCTGCAATCACCGATACGAGTGATAAAAAGGTAACAGAGTTGTACGGGACTTGTAGTCAATACCCTTTTTTATTTTTTCTCTTGATCTCGATGTGGTTGGACGGGTAGTGACAGTGCACGGGGAGCTTGGTTATTTCTGCCGGGCGGGCACGTACGACGAAAAAAAAAAAAAAAAAAAAAAAAAAAAAAGTCAACACGTTCGTTCTTTGTTTTTCAGATTGAAGATCAACCGAATAAAGTTGAGCGACAGTGGTAATTACAGTTGCGTCCCGACGGCGGCGGAAAGGGCGAGCGTCAACGTGCACGTGATCAACGGTAAGGCATTTCCATCCCTTTCGTATTACATACAAATATATGTGTATACCACACTTGCAACCCCACAGTGTACCGTACGGGGAAAATATTATGTGTTTCGCGAAAAAGACCGTCACTCCGTCGCTTCGCTTCGAAACCAAATTACCTTTCCCGAGCAATGTTTTACGTAAATGAGCTTTGGCTGTGTAAGCGCGTATAGGTAAGGCACACACCCACACCAAGCGGCAAATCGAGTGCTCATGAATAATTTCGATAAACACGTAATTAGCGTGATTCAATTTAAAAAATTCAAAATAAACTCGAAGAGAGAGCACGCGCGGCTGCATGATTGAAAGAAAAATTACCTTTTCCTGGTGAAAACGCATTTTTCGCTTTTGCCGAGCTCATGTTTTATTCATCATCACCCTTTACAATGAAACATTGAGGGAAAAAAAATACCTCTTTCAAATTTACTTTGGCTCTTGTTTCCCCTAAATTTTATTACCTTTTAAATTTTAACCCATTGCTTTTACTAGGATTTGAAATTGGATTTTTTTTTTTTTTTTTAACATAAATAGAGCATAACACTTTGAGTAAGAAATGATGTTTCACTAACAAATCGAAAAGAGTGTATCCGTGCCCCGACGAGTCTACCCATACTATACGTTATACACGCGAAGGAAGGAGGGGGTAAGGAGAGAAGGGGTGAGCGCGAGTTAGATTTGTGTCAACAAACAAACGCTCGAACGCGTTTAGCGCGACTCTCCGAAGCCCAAGTTTTCACTTGGGCGCTGTATATAATGTGCGCGTAAACTATAAACCAGTCGCTGGAAGAGTCGGAGGACAAACTGCACGGAAAGAATAAGCGCGCAACTCGAAAAGCCAAAAGTTCGCGAGCTCTTCCTCTCCCACCCTCGCGCGAATTTACATCCTAGAGAGGGGGGAGGGGGGGTGATAGTGCGAAACACCTTGGAGCATAAATTGGAGTGGAAAATGGATTTCGAGCAGAACGGAGATGTGTTGCGAGCGAGGGGCAGACAGTTTCCCTTTGGGTTGGCGCTTTCTCGCTCCGAGTGACAAATAACTTTCCGATGTTTTCTTCGGTCCAACGGCCGGGCCCGGGAAACGAGGAATGGAGCCAGTTGGGGGGTTGCGATGATCTAGCTGCGAAAGCTCCATTCGTTTCTGTATATAAGTATATTAGACACGCTCGAGCGGATTCACCCTTATTTTGGCACTTGCCCGTGGGGACAGTCATTGCGCAGGTACCACCTGTGTACGGATAACGGATGAGCAGAAACTATAAAAAAAAAAAAACCCCTCGATGTTTCATGTACTTTTTTTTTCTGAATCGGTACACACGCGCGCACGAGCATCGAGATTACATGAGCTAATAATAATCCTAATAATCTGGGCCAAAACAGCGTATCGAAACTACCCCTCTTTGGTACATACATGAGAATCCTCATACGCACGCATCAAAGTTGCGTAACTCATGCGGCGCAAGGAAACGCTACAAGTGCGTACACGGGGAATATTGGTATTTCGCGTTATCCCTAACATCATATACGGACCCCTCAATCGGTGGAATCATGCATCTTACGGTATTACTCATCAATAAACATTTTGGTTTCGATTTCACAAGAAAAACATATACACGTGTGTATTTGTCTAATCACCAAAGTAACACGAAGGAACGCGGTTCAATGGAACAACACCGATGTCGAAGTATTGTAAGTACGTGTGAACCCAGTAAGTTTGAAAAGTAAAAGGCACCTCCGGCAATATTATTTGCGATGTACAAAAAAGGGCCGGAACCCACTGTGCCCCCACGCGTATACGCAGGAGAGGACCGATCGCACACATTCATTTCCCAGTGCCAATCATAACCCGTGGACAAACACCATGGGCACGCAGCGGGACGGGGGCACGTAATCCGTATACCGTGGCATTTTCTTGTACTCGACCGGACGTATGCGTATTCCCGGGGGCAAATTAAATATCGCGAGCGCCATGATCCCCCGCGCACCGGTCGGAATCGGTGCAAACAGATCGGCTGGAACGAGGGATCCATCCGTCCGTTCGCATCAAAAATCCGCGCGCGCTTTCGGCAAATATTGGCAGAACGAGAACGTGCGTGCCGCGCTGTTTGTTCCCCCCCCCCGAGATTTTAGTCTGCGTGCACTGTACCCATACACAATGTAAACTCGTAGACTTTTCTCGCATTACGTATATCTGTACGTACGCACCTGTGCGTGCAATCGCGAGTAAGTAGTTATTATGGGGGAGACGCTTGGGCACGCAGTATATAATCAACTGCGAGAGACAATGTAGGTAACTTTTCACGGGTATACACTGTAAATCCAAGTGTGTTAAAGTACATACGTTCTAAATGTGTAGTTGAAATTTCCTTGTTTTTTTTATAAAATGTATCACAGTTGTGTTATTAATAATTTCAATAACCATAAAAAATCTGTGGTGCACCAAGTTTATAGTAAACCAGTTTTACCTAAATTGGACACTTTGGAGTGGGAAAAACCAACGTAGGAAATCTGTGACGTAAATCTTTTACTCTCTACAACCGTTTTATCTCAATCGTTGAAGAAAAAAATTATTTTGTTGCTCTGAATATACTTTTATCAAGACCACGGCAATGTATTTTATAAAAAACCGAAATTTCGATGACACGCTTTAAAACGCGTACTCCAACGAACTTGAATTTACAGTATATGCGTGGCTATACCTATGGCCGTTTGCGTACGTATTTAATATTGTCATTCACGATGAACATTACGCAATACGCAGATGGGCCCCTTGACGTGCGTTATTCCGAGGCACACCGGGCAGTCTCGGGAAATTGGTCATCAGCGCATCTGCTGCTTCTCTGTAAAACGTGAGTGTGTGCTCGTGTCTCCCTCAACGCCATACCGATACATACACACTGTGTACATATACAGATGATATATGTACACGCAGGTGTATACTGCGTTATACGTATTATCCCCGATGATGATTAATGATTACGTAATAGGACAGAACTTTTGTTCGTATACGCGCTCGTCCCCCTTCCACCTATTATGTACATTGGGACTACCGTACATGCAAGCTCGCTACCGATCGATCGAGCCCACTTATACCCCGTGTTTGCCTTTCTTTCCTTTTCTTTTCATCGATCGGCCACTGCGTCGTTTAACTGTCTGCAGTCGTTTGATATGTTATTCCTACACTTTGACGCTCCACTGTCTGCGCTTCATTATCGCAGGATCCGATGTAATGTCCTTCGTTGGTAATTGAAAGGTCATTTTTAATTTACAGGGGATTAAAATAGAAGTAACAATATTTTCGTTTGATTTATTTGATATTTGTTGCGTGAATGAAACGAATGCAAGAATACATTTGCGCGTTAATTATCTATGAATTCGGGAAATCAATGGCCTCGTATGGGTACACTACAGGGGCCAGAAAAAAGAAAAAGTGGACCTTAAAAACAATATATCGATCGAGCCATAAGTATATATACCCGTGCAGTGCATCACAGTTATTGCACATCAGGAGCAGTATGGGTACCTACTTTAATGTAACCCGCCGTTGCTCGATCATTATTCCATTTGCCATCGCATTTACTACTTGGTGCTCATTGTATTTTGGGCATCCTCGAGGGCCCTCGACGCATATGCACTGCTTCTCGACGATTCGTCGTTATTGCGCTCGTTACAATTTATATCCCTCGAGCCCGTGGCTCTTACCCTACGTGTTTTCCTTTTTCTTGATGTTTTTTTTTTTTTTTTTTTTTTTTTTTTTTTTTTTTTTTTTTTTTTTTTTTTTTTTCTTATCTTGCATCGAATGACTCTGATTGTTCGCTTTGCTACTCTAAATTAAAAATTTTACCCACATGTATATCTGTTTTGCTAATAACGCGCGCGACGGGACGAAAATTGCAAGTGTTTAACGAAGAAAATAAAATCCCTGAAGTTTCCCGAAGGAAGAAAGAAAGAAAGGAAAGTTTCGCCAAGTACTTGTGCATACCTATTACGCGAGAGCGACATTTAAGTATAACATGCACCGAACAGAGAGAGAGAGAGAGAGAGAGAAACGTACGTAGAGTCGGGGTAAAAATTTCATCGAACGGAGGGACAAGTTTCCAGGGGAGCGTAAGTTTTGGGTAAAATAGCACAGCGCCGGAAGTTGTTTCAAATTTAGGTTCTCCCTCCGATGACGCAAAAAAAGTTTTTCGCCCCCCCCCCCTCTGCAACAACTTATTGCCCCGAGGCTTTGCATCTGTATACCCGGTGATGAAAACTTTTCTTAACGACACGTGCTTTTTCCTCGTTTTCCCGTCCACGTGTGTTTTTTCGCACAAAATATATGTATACCTACATACACGCGACGATCCACCGAATAAACGCAATTTTCATAATTCCATCAAATCTACGGTACATACGCCGATTCCGTCACGTTCCCTAATGCTCCATCGAGCGGCAATAACGACAAACTATACGCGCACATAATATGCACACACACGGTTGTTCATTTCGTTCGCGTGTTCATCACGCGACGTATTGATTTCGTTAATACATGGCTCGATTGATCCCATACAATCGGGATTGTTGTTGTTGTTGTTGTTGTTGTTGTTGTTCTCGATGAAAGGTTGACACAATATCAGCAAATTGACAATGAGAGAGGGAGACATAGAGAAGAGACACAATTTGACGGCATGTGGAATGTTATTATTCCTCCAAATGAAACGTGACGCGTCAACGTTGCCATATCGAGTTGTCAATTATGTTCCATTAGGATTACATATTTTTCAAGATACCCAGGGTATGATATTATATATACCCATAACTGAACTAGATAACGTGTAAAGAGTGGCAGCAGTATTTGGTTATTTGCCAATATCACCCACAAAGCACAGTGAGAGTAATTTGGTTCCCCGTTAAGTATAGCAAAACGCATAAATACCGCATTTCCCGTGTGGCATTGTCGAGTGCTATTGTTAACGAGCATAGTACGATGTGTATACCGTCAAAGAGTATGATATTATGTATATATATATAATGCCTCTTCAGCTCATTGGTGGGGCTAAGCCGAGGTTTTTCATATAGAAATACACGTAGAACTAGACAATGACGGAAAAAGGAAGTGAGAAGAACGGGGTAAAAAGGGGGTTGGAGGAAACAAGTGTGTCTGTACGTGCAGTGCCACGAAGGGTGAGAATAGAATGGCTTCTTTGACGAAACGGAGATGGAACGGCTGGATTTAACGGCAGATACTCGAGCCCCGGTGCAAAAGAGAGAATGGTGTCGAATGAGTGGGTGGGTGTAGAGCGATGGAGAAGCTGCCGCGGCGCATTACGGAGAGAGCTCGGTTGGCATTACCTTTTAACGAGCCTGGGGATCGAAGGGATGAGCAGGTACAGTTTTATCTCCGGAAGGGCGCGATTATTCGAGACAATCTCTCTCCCCCTTTGTCCACCGAATCTCGCAATTAGTCCCGAATGGGGGAGTAGCTCGACGAACCGAAGGGATTTCTCTCCTGCCCTATACAATCGGTCGAGAGATTGCATACGGGGAGGGGAGGGGGATGGGATAAAAATTCACGGCAAGTTTGGCGAGTGACCCCCTTTTTTTTCCTGTTTTCTTTCTTCCTGGCGCGTCCGACGCACACGCACTGGTTCTCGTTTCATTTCCAGTGGTAATCTGCTCGCAAATGAATATCGATGGCCCGGAAAACGCATTTGAATTTCAAATTCCCACCACCAGCACCACCGAGAGGTCAATACACGTTCGTTCGGCTCCGCGCGATAATCCTTCCTTCTTTCTTTTTTCGAAAGTTCATTCGCACGGTGCACGTGGAAATCCCGACATCACCTCAACAATCGGAAAAACGATCACGTGGGGGAAATCATCAAAAAGAGAGTGTGTGTGTGTGTGTGTGTGTGTGTGTGTGCACACCCGAAGGGAGAGACGGTAGTTCCAATGAGAGGCAAAAGTCGGGGCAACGTATGAGGTAATATCCTCCCCGGTCGCGGCATCGGACGAGGGAGAATGTGTAGATATAAAAGATCGAACGAGGGCACAGAGAGAGACTGTACGTCTCGGTGATGGCACGCCCGTCCAGCGCTACATGTTGTACGGAGGATCAAGGGAGGGAGGCAGGGAGGAAGGAAGAAGACGGATGGGGCAGGGGCCTAAAGTAGCGGTAGGTCGTTACGACGCGGCGCTTCCGGTTTCCGCCTCGGCACATTTCCCGCTGTACGGCAAGGGGAAGGAATCGGTCGGTATAGGGGGAGGTAAAAGGCCAAGAGAGCAGCTCTCCTGTACACGGGGCTTCGTTGCAATCTGCAACAGTTAGCGCACGCACTGCTGGACCCTTCCCCTGTATTGCATGTACATAATATAGGTACAGCCATTACCAAAAGGGGGCTGAAGAGGCTGGCCTGTGAGATGCAATTAGTCTCGCCTCTGGTGCCGGTCATTAGACCGTATATACCTACGTAAGCTCGTGCACGTCCAGTCAGCATCAGCCGCGGCCAAGACAAGATGCTCGGTGAGCTGCCGATGCGCCGTAGGCACCACTCCCCGCGGTATATATGTGTGTGTGTGTGTGTGCACTTGGCTCCATAATATTGGTTGACAATCATACGTGCGCGCAAGCGTGTATACGTACATCCCCGGATGATGCAGGACTTTTGGGCCTACACTGCTATACGCCCATGCCGATACATGCAGCTTTGGCCTACTGGATCTCTCTCTCGCCCTGGATGATTGATTACGCGATGATGCCTTGATTCGTGAATCTTTGATTCTGTTATCGTCAGTTGTTGTTGTTGTTTTTCATCATATCCAAGCCTCGTAAAGGCATATATTTATACACCCATAAATATGTACAAACGGAGCCATTAAATTGTGTGCTAATGTGATCATGTGTTACTCCTGTAGAGCCGCGTTGTTAAGCCGAACGACTTCTCGGATTCGCCTTTGGATACGAGCCAAAGGACAGCGCCACGGGGGACGCCAGGGAATAAGTGTGCGCGGGTGTGGACGAAAAATGTGGGCTAACGCGAACGGGCACCTTATACACACGCGTTTAATAGTTACGCGAGCAAGGAAGGTTATTCAGTTGTGCAAAAGAGCGTTACTATCTACGTGGATATTACAGGGGTGCAGTTGATGATATCTGATGCTGTGAAACGAGGTTTATGGTACATTATATACTATGAGAGATTGTATCTGATGGTTATCGGCCACGAAGCGATGATGGCATGGAGAGGTGGATTTGAGCTTTTTTTTTTCAAGACGAGGGTTAAATTCGCATTCGATCTTTTCATTACCATCGAGTTTTGTGTTTGAGGATTGAGTTTTCAATGGCACGCTGATCAGGTTGTTGAAATTTCGCACGAGTACAATCATCCGGCGAAATTGGGTCTGTACACCCGGGTTTGCGTGGTCGTCATTATATATACCATGTCCACTTGCGTTGGCTGAAATAACGGAGCAACGGGGGTTGAAACGGAAATTTTCACAAAATTAGGAATTTGATGAAAAGGAAACCCACCCGGTGGAAAATGAATGGAAAATTATAGTTCGGCTTTCCGTCGCGTAGCTTTGCAATTAATTTAAATTCCACTTGCGCCCGTGTGTGTATGATGTGGACCGTCACGTGCTCCAGGACATTCGTTTCCTCTGTTGGCTTTTAGTTGCGCTTGAAATAACGAGGCAATCTCCATCGTTTTTTTTTTTTTTTTTTTTTTTTTTCCCAACTTTCATGCAACACGTAATCAATTCAGAAATGTATTTTCAATTAAAAACTGCAAACAAAGAATTTCGAATTTCCTTTTTTTCTTTTTTTTTTTCATCCTCTCGAAAAGTAAAGAAAAAAAAAGGAACCAAGTTTTGTAATGATCCCGAAAACTGTGTGTATTAATGTCTCTCAACTAAGCGAGGCAATTTGGAAGGCAGCGAAATTTTATAAAGCGACTCTCTCGCGCAATGTACAAAACGTGTCTATATACATAAGCGCACTAGTTACCCTATACATGTACGTTTTAAAAGCAGAAACTTGGGTGCAGTCGGGGAAAAGTTGAGAAATCGGCCGTTAAAGTTAACAGGGCCAAAAGCCGAGGTCATCACCGGCTGCGCCGAAATAATGAGACCCGCCAACTTATCCGCCCATAATCTGCCCGTGCAACGCGAAAATTTGAGAAAATCCCAAATACCCCCATACACGCGTATAACGTTCAACTGCCCGAACGAATAACCGCCACCTTGTACTGTCCGCAGGGGAGTATCCAGCGGCGATGCAGCACGGCAACACGGCGGCCGGATGGCCAACCTCGCGGACGATCCTCCTGGCCCTCGCCTTCTTCCTCGGCCAGCTGAGGTAATGTGCAGCCCGTCACGACCAAGACTCCCTACGGAGGAAGCATCGACAGGACGACCCCCTCTCGTGTCCTCGGGATAAAGAGCAACAACGGACGAAACGAAAAGTCACCGCGAGTTCCAACTCACGGGGGTGTATAAACGAGCTCGCAACCCCGAAGAGACTGATGTTATTTGTTGAGTGGAAAAAACGTCATCGAGACTGTGATGGTGCATCGTAAACGTCAACTAGAAATACATGGGTGAAGAAAAAAAAAAAAAAAAAAAAAAAAAAAAAAAAGAGAGCGAACCACCGCGGCTAAAAGTATACCGATTCTTCTTGGGCTCGCGTTTTTCCTCGGAGAATGGGGATTCCATAGAGGGTGGCAGCAAAGAGAGCCTACAGGGTCTACGTACCCGCCCTTCCGAGACACCGGGGATCATGCAAAATTCGCCATTTCCTCGCAGTTGAAAAGAGAAGGGGAGGGCCGGGGATCGAAAGGCAGCGACAAAGAATCGGGGGGAGGGGGAGGACGTGACTTTCTGCACCCCCTTCCTCCTCTTGCTCTCCTTTGCAAAGAGCGCGTGCGTCCACGTGTAGAGCCACGGGTATCCTTTGGGCGAAAAAAAAAGGTACACCTGGATGCTCGGGAATGCCGAGTGGGAGAGGGGGGAGGGGGGAGAGGGGGGGGGAGATGTATGCGTGTATATATAGTGGGACTCGATTGGGTTGTGATCGGTCATGCGGTGGTTCGTGAAATTTCGTCCGCCGGGGCTGCCACCACTATGCGGGGGCGAGAGCGAGGGAGGGAGCGCCGAAAAGATATTCTCTTTGAAGTGGAGATATATAATTATACGGGGGGTGAGAATCGCGAGAGAGAAATCGACGTGTGTAAACGCGAATGAGGATTAAATATGTAAGTACAAGTATAAGGGAGGGAAAGAAAGGAGCACGCGCCGAGCGAAAGGGAGATCGAAAATTGTTTACAGAAATGTAAGAGGGATTGGGGCGGGGGGAGGCGGAAAACAAAAAAAAGAAGATGGCATCGTTTGTGTGCGAAGAGAGATAATATATTATAATGCATACACGTAGTTGCTAAGTATATAATATAAGTATAAAAATAGGGGAAGATAAAAGAAACGCGAGACCATCATATACCAAAATGTAATACTTGCTGACTATGTACACACCCCTTCTCTATGGACGTATATTGTACGAGGCAAAGTGCAGTATATATATATTTGTGCGTGCGGGGGGAGGGACATTATATTGCGCACTTACGTATATACGTATAGTGTATGTACACACACACACACATACACATACACACCCTCACATGAGCGTTTAAACGTACCTATACTTATAGATATATTTACTGTACTTAATGGCAAAAGATAGACCCACCCACAACCACACGTATGCGTATGCATCAGATGAAAAAAAAAAAAAAAAATGCAAAAGATAACACGATTCACTGTGCTCGTATGTACACGTCGTGTTTTGCAAGTCAACAAACAGACAAACAAGTATTGTAGATTTTCGTTGGGCAGAATGTGAAAACGCGAGTAATTGCGTGCGTTTGAGAGCGAATAATGAGATGCGCAAAACTACACTTACTACCCCCCTTTGAGCGAATGAGCGCGTATACCTGCGAAAGTACGGATAAATATAATATATAATATGTATACGGGTGTGCGGAATTTGATGATTGCGTGTGTACGGTGCGTTCTATTATATAAATATACGACGGAGTCATGTTTTTAACTTTTATGTTCTTGAATCGTCAGTGTCTAAGGAAAACATAATACTTTGGAAAATTGTGTATCAGCAACCTGTGGCAGAAAAAAAAATAATATCTACCTAAAAAAGACACAATTGGATGCACCGTCTTGTACATAATATTTTACTCTTGTAAATAAAAAAAAAATCGATCCATAAAAAAACAAATGTTTGATTGATTGTTTATCTTTCTTTTTTCTTCTTGATATATTATTATTCTATTATTTACTATCGACGACCTCATTTTCCTTTCATTTTTACTATATTGAGTTTTTGCTCGCAAGGTGCGTATTGATTATTAGGATAAAAATTTTTTTTAATACACTTCATTTGAAAAGTAACAAAACAATAAAGGCTGTAAAAATAATTTTGTGACTTTCAAAAGAGGATTTTATTTTTTTGCATAATATTACCGTTTATTTCTTTTTCAGGACTTTAAAATAATATATTATTATCATTGATTTAAAATGGATCTTCAGTCACTGATACATGGCTATAATTTCTTTGTAATCAAACTTACACGGTTTTAAAAAAATCATGTCTCGATATAGTAATAAACATTTTGACAATGAATAAGAAACATTTATAATCAGTTTTTAATAAGTTTGCGGGGTATCTTTAAAAAAATGTGGCTCCAACATCAATACGAGAAATGAAACAATAGCTTCATAGTACTAAATACAAAAATTTTTTATTAAAAACACTATTTTACAAGAGATGGATATTTTCACATCGCAAGGCACAGTTTCACATTAATGTCTCAACATCCTTCAAAGAGTCACAAAATGCTAAAAATATAATACCGTACTTTAACCAAAGTACAAATTTTCATTCATTTATGTAAGGGCACAAATAATCGCATATATACATCAAAAAAAGATACCGACAAAATAGTCAGATAATATCTAGCTCCTGCACTTAAGATACGATGTTGCTAGTAACAAACAAAATGATAACTGTTGTAAAAATCTTACAATTCAAAATATTGTAACAAATTCATTATAATCTTTATACATTTATACAATTAATTACATTTGTATACTATCATCGTACTAATCGTGCAGACAACTTATTCAAAGGTTTGGGCATGCAGTAGTTGATACACAAGTCCGTAGATGACCATAAATAATATGTAAGAATCGTACGCCTCGAATCAGTAGTAACTTTATCTCTTCACATTATTGTTACGATAAATATGATTATTCACTATAAATTTCCATGTCACTAAATTTTTTAAAAATAATAATCACACCAGTGTGTATCAAAGCAACAACACACTCAGATGTTGAAATTGACATTTGGTTTTGATACCACCAATTACGTATTTCCGTAATAAATAAGTATTTAAGTAATCTAGAATTCATTGAAAGAAAAAACTAACTAAAATGTATGTCTTGATCCTAGTTTTGAAATATACAAATAATTATTCGATGCTTTTCTTTGCAAGAATAATAGTATGCTGTCCTCCGCCAGAAACTCGAAGAACCTCAACTTCTTTCACATATTTGGATTCAATTAATCTGGGTTCTAAAATATCGTCTTCTTCTCCAGTACCAAGCTGGCCTTCGGAGCCCATTCCCCAGGCGTATAGTTTTCCTGTAACAAAATTTTCGAGCTNTTGTTACAATATTTTGAATTGTAAGATTTTTACAACAGTTATCATTTTGTTTGTTACTAGCAACATCGTATCTTAAGTGCAGGAGCTAGATATTATCTGACTATTTTGTCGGTATCTTTTTTTGATGTATATATGCGATTATTTGTGCCCTTACATAAATGAATGAAAATTTGTACTTTGGTTAAAGTACGGTATTATATTTTTAGCATTTTGTGACTCTTTGAAGGATGTTGAGACATTAATGTGAAACTGTGCCTTGCGATGTGAAAATATCCATCTCTTGTAAAATAGTGTTTTTAATAAAAAATTTTTGTATTTAGTACTATGAAGCTATTGTTTTATTACTTGAAATTTAACTAAACCCGGTCATCTTTTAAAAAAGACTTGGACAAGACTACAAAAATCATTTGGAACAAGGGAAACAAGTTTACTGATGGATACCTTATAAAAAGTCTTAAAATAATGAGAACACTACAGAAATTGGCTGAGAAAAGTAAAATTAAAAATTTACTTGCTCGATTTTGTTCACACAAAAAGTTACATTTATACCTGAAAGATCTATAAAAACGTTGTCGTTGGGCTGTTAATTTTAAATGTCACTGCTTTTAGTCAGGCTAGCCTGCGATGCACCGTAACAGGCCCTGACGAAGAAACCCAGGCGTCTCTAAGTAACAGTATATATATACTTAAGTTTCACCTCCTTTTTCTATTCCATGTGGCCGCGTCAGATCAATTCTTGATTAGTTGAATTAAACTGTGATTCGTATTTTTAATAACTCAATTAGTTAAAATTAAACTCGTTATGGTAAGATCTCAATAACAGAAAATATTTCTCATTACAGCTAATTGTCTAGTCTCCAGTGGGGGCTTTGCGTCATTATTTGGAATATTATTATTACAAATCTTAGTATAGGTTAAAATGCTGTAAATAAATCTGATAGAAATATTTGTTGGATTTGTTACTGTTCAAATAGTTTTGTCACTGACATCTAAAAAATAGCAGAATATGAGTGTTATATTTCAGAGATTAAAATATGTTTGTGCATTTTCAAACCAGCAATGTGAGTAAATTATTGGGAACTGAAATTCTTTTAGGCAAGCTTAAAGGCTGAAAATCCAGAGAAGCCAGTCCAGGAAACTGCACCTATCCATAGGATCCGAATTACTCTTACATCGCAAAATGTTCGTTCCCTCGAAAAAGGTAATTAATATCTGGTTTGGTGATTATACTTTATTACTTGAGTAGCTCAATTTCTCGTTGTACAATGTATTTTTAGTGTGCTCGGAATTAATTCAGAGAGGCAAAAAGCAGAAGCTGAAGGTGAAGGGACCAGTTCGCATGCCTACTAAAATCCTGAGGATAACGACTCGGAAAACACCCTGTGGAGAGGGTTCCAAGACATGGGATCGTTTTCAGATGCGCATCCACAAAAGGGTCATTGATTTGTACTCACCCTCTGAAATTGTCAAACAAATCACGAGTATCAACATTGAACCTGGTGTAGAAGTTGAAGTAACCATCGCTAATGATTAAGCTGAACCTTATTTTTACTTTTACGATTATTAAAAATAATTTTTCAGTATTTGCTTGTTCTTATTACTTTTTAACCCCATGTTTCCATTGCCTCAGGTAATACAATATATTTGAGTTTTTTCTTATTTTTAATAATACTTACAGACTTAGTCGATATCATAACAAAGCGAGGTTTATTATATTTAAACTTACAATTTTGGATGGATATTTGAAAAAGAATAGTCTAACAGATATCATTTTTTCAGTAATTGCTGATGAATCATTTATTAATCTTACTCAGAGCAGTAAGCCAATAAACTCGTGTATTTTTACTACAATTGGATATTGAGAATTGTCTACAACATTACATACAAAATTAAAAATACGATTGACAAAATTTGTGGAATTGATTTTTACTTTATACAGCCCAAGTATCGCTTAAAACCCTTAATAATACCAAGTATGAATTTTTGTAGAAATAAGAATTTGTACCTTTTTACTCTTAAAACTTTTTTGCCACGAACGCATAAATACAGCTAACTCGTAATAACTATAAATAAACAATAAGCAACGCAACGAAACGTATAATCATCAACAATTGACAGTTGTCGACACTTACATTTAGGCCTTTCTTCTTTAGTTGTCTCTTTTAGACTAATTAATTTACTTAAATATTTGATCGTTATTCAAGATTTTCCTAACACAAATTTTGCTATTTACATATTATATAAGTCAACTGTTTATTAGAACTATAATGTTAAAGGGCAGGGGCCGTACCATGTAACTATTTTTCTGTACATCAGCCTATGTTATAACATAGGCCCGCGAAGCGAAAAAAAGTTATATGGTACGGTCCCCGTGCTTCCATGAGTTAATGGTAAAAGGTCTAATGTATTGTAATTTTGTAAATATGATCGATTTCATTAGCCATATACGATATGTAGAATATTTATACTTTTGGAGGTCTGTTTTCGGAAAAAAGTTAAACTGCAAACTAGATTACTGACTTGCCGAAAATAGCACAAAAAGTACAAACTATTGGTTATCTATTTATCAAATTAGTTGCGGCTGGTTTATAATTAATTAAATGGCGATACTGTAAATAGTACTAATTATTTGGATCAGCGCCATCTAGCGGTCTTTATTTTTTGGCCATAAGTGGCTCCTAAAATTCTCAATCAGAGCAATCAGGATAAGAGCCATTTAATTAATTATAAACCAGCCGCAACTTATGATGAAGCTATAAAATAGAAAAATTACGATACATGTGTTTTTGGCGGCAAGTTAACAATCAATTTTTTACAAAAAAATTTACCTCATATGTATTTATACTTTTAAAGATAAATTTTTGAGCAAAAGATAAATTGGTAACTTGCCGCCAAAAACACACGTATCGTTTTTTTTTTATTTTATAGCTTTTTCATGAGTTGCGGCTGGTTTATAATTGACTAAATGGCTCTAATCCTGATTGCTTTAATTGAGAATTTTAGGAGCCACTTTTGACCAAAAAATAAAGACCGCTAGATGGCGCTGATCCAAATAATTATTGCTATTTACAGTAAAGTCACTTTATTAATTATAAANTTCTGGTAACAACTTGATAAGAACGACCGTTTCCAAGTACAATTAACTAATTGCAGGTAATTGGTGAAATTTCCGATCGACGAGTTTCAAAATAAAAGAGATAAGGCATATCTGTTTGGATATTTTTGAAATTACTACTTTCGTGAGTTACACAGTCATGCATGACACGTGTTACACGGGGAAAATTCTGTTTTCATCAAGTAGGCTTGATAAAAACAGTTTCTAAGTACATTAAGTCGTTAATGACTAAATAGTTCGGATAAGTGAGAAGGTCGAGTTTCAAAATAACAGATAAAGTATATCTGTTTAGATATTTTTGAAATTTCTACTTTCGTAAGTTAAATGCATGACACGCGCTAATTTAATAAACGGGGAAAATTCCGTTTTTTTCAAGTCGTTAACAGAAGAAGCCTAACTTTTCTTCAAGAATTAATAGCTATCAAGCCAACATTCTGTAGATTTGTAGTAATAAAAAATAATCAAATGGTAAACAGTTAAGTATAAGATTATGTTGAAAACTGTATATATTATATATTATATGTATATATTATACGTTGAAAACTAACATTGCATTTTACATGCGGTTGTTTTTTTTCGTAGCATAACCGCAGATACAATATTGTATCATGGTAGCAATATAATAAATCCTCGTATGCTTTTTACAATAATCTGACAGTATGATAATGATGAGTTTGAAAATTTGGTGTGTTGACGGTTGTAATGGCACGCCGGGAGGGGCAACTTTCAACCGGTGGCACTTTGGTTACCCAGGTTACCCTGGATGCTTTTAGTTCAATCTTATCGAACGAGTTTTTTTTCAATTGTATAATTGTCTACTAGATTAACAAGAAATATCTGTAAGTGCATGTACAGTGGTATACGAATGCATTTTCTATTGATCGTGCAACGAAGACACCAAAGCAACGTCAAAATTCGTTGTCATCAATAATTCAAATTATATGTATGGCTATATGCTTGGTGGTGGTTTTTTAGTTTATGGATTATTTATGAATATGCTTTTTACTTGCAGGCAAAGTTAAAAAAGTAAGTTATACGTGCTAAGTTCAATGACAGGTCAAATTTTTAAAATGATCCACAATTCGCTGTCGATTTAAGTTCTAAGACAATGCGAATTCCGATTTTTTAGTAAGATCATATTGGCGATATGACACGTCTTTTACAACATGTAGGACCATTTCACTTAAGAACTATTAACATTTGTAAACGTTGCGGCAGTTCTTTTTTTTACACATCTTGGGGTTAGCAATGATGACGTCCGACGACCGACAACTTGACGACTACGACGCGTACCGTTTGTGTTGCGACCTGCAACTTATGTTTGGTTTTTTGTCTCAAATGCCATTAAGTAGCCTCCAGCCTCCAGGTTATGAGTTCCGAGCCAGGCGCTCGCGGCGCTAGCCTTGTCCAAAACTGGCCTTGTCCGTATACTTTAGGTTAAATTTTGCCTTTAATTGAAAAATTTAACTCTTCCCAAGTCCTAGATAGTTCATCTACGAGGAAGAGTAAGGAATTTTGTGAGCCTACTGGCGTGATTTTGACTTGTCAAAGTCAGTGGGAGCCACACCACCAGGATGTGGAAGTTTGTGACGCGAGGTATCCGCGAGTCCTTGGAGCGTCGGGCCTGTCGCACCAACGTCTACTCCCAGAGCAACGATGGCAATGACGCTGTCGTCCCCGAGCAGCAGAAAACAGAGTGTCCCAACAGATTCAAAAAGTTCAGGGTCAGAGGCTCGTGCTTTACCAATTTTCATAAAGATCTCAAAGGCCCTTGTCCCGTGGCTCTGGTGAAACAACACTGGAACAATCTTGGGGCCCGAAAAGAGAACGAACAACGAAATTACGACGCCAAGTATACCTGGTCAGAGGCTGTTGGCTTGGTGAGTGGGATGAGTTATCCTCATTTAGCTGTTCAAGTGTTGTATGATAGGTGAAAATTGGTACTTATGGAGAACGTGTTCAAATTAATGTTATTTTGTTGACTCGACTTATTATTAATCTTCAGAGTAGGTACGTGACAACTCAAACCAATTTTTATGTTTTACATTTTAATTTTAGTCAGGAATTCTGGCCATAGGCTACGTCGTCTGTCAGTCTCTCTTCATACGCAGGAGGCTGTTTGAATTTGAAAATTCTAATGTAGAAAAGTGGAAGAAGAAGCTGATTACCGATCCGCAAGTCCAGGCATCTCAGATACTTTCTCACTTTGTACTGCCAGGGCCACAGTACATACTTCCTACTACTAATGCTCTCAATGAAAGCAATAAACTAACTGCCCAACAGACCAAAGACACATCTGAAGATTTAGTTACATCTGAAGATTTAGTTGACAGTGCTATAAACATTGAACAGACTTATGGCCCTATAACAGCTGAAGAGGTACTTAACACCTTATTTTTTAATATGATTAAAAACTTTACTGTTATTTTCTGATGATTTGTTTTTCCCTTAATTGTCTTAATTCAACAAATTGCTTTCAATAAAATTCTAATTTCAGGCTATCAAAGAAGCTGTTGATAAATTTTCGTATGTAAATGAATTAATTTTGGGAGAGCAAGAATTTGATTCAGGACTCAAAGCAGTCGAGGAAGAACGTTACCAGGATGCTGTACAACATTTCATTTCTGGTGCTAATTTATCGTCTGCTAGAAGTATGTTCAACTTAGGATTATGTTATGAATTAGGATTAGGAACTCCCAAGAACTTTAAAAAGGTTTGTAACTTATAGAGATGTGTATAATCCTCTATTAAATTTAAAAAAAAGAAATATTCACATCAGTTGAATGTAGGACTTAAAATATTTTGATCATACATATTAATCGATTCCTACAGGCTGTGAAATATTTCAAGAAAGCTGCTGACGAAGGTCATGTTGATGCCATGTACAATTTAGGAGTCTACCTAGCTCAAGGTAAAGGAGGCATCAGTATGAATCTAGATGCGGCCAAGTTTTGGTTCACACAAGCAGCAGAAAAGGGGCAACTCGATGCTATAAAAGCACTCCAACTAGAAGAAACCTTTGATGGAAATTCTGAGCATATAGAGAGAAAAAATGCTAGCTATGTAAAAGTCAATACTGCAAAAAAAGTAAACAATAATTTAGTGTCTAAATTAGCAAATTATAAGGCTGCTTTTAAGACTAGCATTGGTACCATAACAGAATCTGATGAGTTTTCAACCTCGTATGAAGATAACTTGAATTCTTCAAGCCCTACTAACATATTTTTAGAAATGCTTGGCATAGATACGCCGAGTGCCATATATTCTTCATCTCAGTTGTAGAAAATGAGCATTAAACAAATTTTACCCGTGCAGATGTTTTTTGTTAAGTCATGTACATCTCATTTTATACATGTTATCTCATCACTATAATTAGAAATAGGGAAGTTTCAGATGAACGAATTTTTGGCTCAGCATGTACATAGGCTATACGTTGATGAGTGTGTAAATAGAAAATTTAAACCTATAGAAACATTTACTGTGACTTAAAATTTAAATGCATGTATCATGTCTAATCTATTTTACTTAAGTACTTAACCACTATTCTTTTTATTAACTGATATGTCCTACAGATTGTTGATATATCTGTGATAACTTTGTTTACTGATAAAGTGTGTAAATACCACAGAAAACGACGATTAGTCATAAAGACGTATATTAATTCTGTAAGAAATGATAAAATAAAAAATGAAACAAATGAAAAAAAGTTTCAAAAAATTGTACTTTATTATTAAAAACCATGTAATTATTTACATTAGAAAACTACCAACAAGCATTATGTCTTTTAGCTACTTTTTCAATAAAATCTTTATGACTAGCATAAAGTGACAACTCTTTATTGATATCCATCCACTTGACATTTTTTGCATCATCACCTGCCTGTAAATCAATAATGCCCACAATTTTTCCAGTGCTATCATGAAAGTTAAATGCTATTGTCTCCATCCAGGCATTATCTGTATTTCTTGGATCATCAACATATCCCTTGTAAACCTCCTCACCTTGATTAAAAAAGTCTGTTATTGTCTTTTTCATACTCTTTAATTCTACTGAGCCTTTTTCAAGGGAATTTAAGGCCTCCTCCATAAATTCGCGACATAGTGTAACTGACACTCTTTCACCAGGATCAACCATACCCCCTGGTAAAGCCCACTCTCCCGTGTCCTTTCTTTGAATACCTACAAACTGAAGCACAGGATGTTTTGATTTTTCATCTACAACAGCAGAGTCATCATTATTACTCTTCCATCTGGTCACAATTGGATCTGCAGCATGATTGGGTCCCCATCTACCTAAAACACCTCTACCCCTCAATCCAGATCGCCCAATAGGATTCAAAGGGTAATTATCCTCATCAGCTTGGTAATGACCAATGTAACTTTCTCTATTGACTTTTCCTGTAATCGAAAATTCTCAATATTATTTATCTTCTCAACTAATCCTAAAGCAATTACCATCAAGCTTATTCCACTGAGGTTGGAAACTTGCATCTGCAATATCTGGATCTGCCCAAACTTTCCCTTGTAAAACTGGAGAATTGTATACACCTGGTGAATATTCTGGAAAATCAACATTCCAGGAAATTTTGTCATCTGGCACGATAAACCTTTGGATTTTAGTTAAAGGGTATACAGTGTTTCTACACTTTTTGTGGATCATTTTAAAAATTTGACCTGTCATTGAACTTAGCACGTATAACTTACTTTTTTAACTTTGCCTGCAAGTAAAAAGCATATTCATAAATAATCCATAAACTAAAAAACCACCACCAAGCATATAGCCATACATATAATTTGAATTATTGATGACAACGAATTTTGACGTTGCTTTGGTGTCTTCGTTGCACGATCAATAGAAAATGCATTCGTATACCACTGTACATGCACTTACAGATATTTCTTGTTAATCTAGTAGACAATTATACAATTGAAAAAAAACTCGTTCGATAAGATTGAACTAAAAGCATCCAGGGTAACCTGGGTAACCAAAGTGCCACCGGTTGAAAGTTGCCCCTCCCGGCGTGCCATTACAACCGTCAACACACCAAATTTTCAAACTCATCATTATCATACTGTCAGATTATTGTAAAAAGCATACGAGGATTTATTATATTGCTACCATGATACAATATTGTATCTGCGGTTATGCTACGAAAAAAAACAACCGCATGTAAAATGCAATGTTAGTTTTCAACGTATAATATATACATATAATATATAATATATACAGTTTTCAACATAATCTTATACTTAACTGTTTACCATTTGATTATTTTTTATTACTACAAATCTACAGAATGTTGGCTTGATAGCTATTAATTCTTGAAGAAAAGTTAGGCTTCTTCTGTTAACGACTTGAAAAAAACGGAATTTTCCCCGTTTATTAAATTAGCGCGTGTCATGCATTTAACTTACGAAAGTAGAAATTTCAAAAATATCTAAACAGATATACTTTATCTGTTATTTTGAAACTCGACCTTCTCACTTATCCGAACTATTTAGTCATTAACGACTTAATGTACTTAGAAACTGTTTTTATCAAGCCTACTTGATGAAAACAGAATTTTCCCCGTGTAACACGTGTCATGCATGACTGTGTAACTCACGAAAGTAGTAATTTCAAAAATATCCAAACAGATATGCCTTATCTCTTTTATTTTGAAACTCGTCGATCGGAAATTTCACCAATTACCTGCAATTAGTTAATTGTACTTGGAAACGGTCGTTCTTATCAAGTAGTTACCAGAAGAATTCTAAATTGGGCTCCTTTCAGAAACTTAACTTTCCTCCGAAGAAACATCCATTTTTTCCACTATATACGTTTAACGTTCAATACTATTTTGCAATTAAAATTTGCTTGCGTGTATTCTCCATTTAGATCGATAATTTCTATTAGCGCTAGAGTATATATTTTGTATTCATATTGGAATATTGCAACCAACATGACTGTACATATGTTTAATTTAACTGGTTAACGATTTTAGTCAACCCTTTCTCACAAAGCTTACAAACAAAATGCTCATTCTATTGAATTGTTAGTCTGCTTTTCTGGATAATTAACAGCATCAACGATATAAAAAAATTAAATGAAGAATTACATCGTAATAGTTGTTGAATGAAATGGTCCTACATGTTGTAAAAGACGTGTCATATCGCCAATATGATCTTATACTAAAAAATCGGAATTCGCATTGTCTTAGAACTTAAATCGACAGCGAAAGCAAAAATTCAAATTAATGGAGAGAAAGAGAATGAACAAATGCATAGCACGGTGGCGCCATCTGACGAATAAGTTTTATAATACCCTCATGAGTAACATATCCCCTCTATATAGTTGACAGCTCATCGGCTTTTGGACGGTCTGCACTTGAGCCAATCACGGAGTTGGACTAAAGAGAAAGTGGCCTGTCCAGCCCTACGATTGGCTGATTGTTTGCTCATTCGTTCTACCATGAGCGCCATTGGTCGTAGCGTGCGGTGACGGCGGTTGACGGCGGCGAGTATTGATGCGTGAAGTAGGGGTAGGTAAGTAGCAGTGCCTATAAATACGCGATCAGAGCACGTGTTAAAGCAGTAGATCTTTGAATTCCAAAGTATACCATTGTACAGCTGTGCCTTGCAAGCAAAGCATTGTTTGAGACATATATATCCGTTGAGCCGTTCCGACTGTTTTGGCGGTAAGCCTCTCGAGAGAGTGCCTTTCATCGTTCATCGCAGTGCAAACGCAAACTCTGTCGTTGTCAAAAAAAAGAATAAGTACGTAAACGGTATACTTACTTCTACGTCGTTTTCTTGTATTTCGATTAACTTTTACCGAGGCATGGATACTATAATTCATGTGGCACTTTGTTTATTCAAGTAAGTATGTCGTACAGTTACTTAATTATTTATTTTGTTTTCGTTCTCCACAGTGCCGTCGAAAAAAAAAGTGACCAATACCTCTAACAAGCGCAAATCTCCGGATTCGCAAACCAACGTAGCCATGCCTGTGAAAAAGGCTAAAACCTCCGGAAAGAAGCCTGAAGTATCCCAAAATAATGGTATGTAATTTTTCCAAGTATATTGCAGGAACTTTCTGTGGTTTGCATGAGCAGCAAGGTAAATGCAGTCTTTCGTGTTTCCACACAGCTTTCTATAGTTCAATTGATTAACGACTTACAAGAACCTAGTGTTCCCTAGATAATGATATATTACATTTTTCAGGGCCACTGAAGATAAAAGTGACCAACAAGCGCAAATCTCCAGATTCGCAAGACAACGTGGCCATGCCTGTGAAACGGGCTAAAACCTCAAGAAAGAAGCCTGAGGCATTCCAGAATGATGGTACGTATGGTTCCACATTGATGACATTTAATGATCTAGTGTTCCCCGATTAATAATAAGTAACAACTTTCAGATCCTAAAGTTAAAGAGCTTCTCCGTCAAGTGACCACAAGTGGTATTATTCTTACCTGCGGTCAAGGAGACACAGGCCAACTTGGCTTGGGTGACGATATCCTAGAAAAAACACGGTTTGCTCAAGTACCAAACCTTCTGAACATTGTTGCCATAGCAGGGAGCGGCATGCACAATGTGTGCCTCACGGATGAGGGAAAAGTAATCACTTTCGGGTGTAACGATGAGGGAGCCCTTGGTAGAGATACAAACGAGGGCGGTGAAGCTACTCCTGGACTCGTGGATTTACCTGGACGGGCGATTCAGGTGACGGCAGGAGACTCGCACAGTGCCGCGTTAATGGAGGACGGAAGAGTTTTCGTTTGGGGATCCTTTCGTGTGAGTAATCAATTTCCCAAATCATAGTTATAATCTGTACAACTTCCATTAAATTCATACATAATAATAGATGGTACAATTAGTTGTATGTTTTTTACTAAAATTGAAACAATTTTTAGGATTCACATGGAACACTTGGACTATTGACTAAAAATAAAGAAAGTGCTCCAGTACAAATTTTATCCAATAAAAAGTTCATTAAAATTGCTTCTGGATCCGACCACTTGGTTTTACTGGATAATACCAGAAAAGTTTTTACCTGTGGTTGTGCTGAACAGGGCCAACTTGGACGGTTACCTGAACGAAAAACAGATAGACACAGTGGTCGAGGTGGTAACAAATTGCTGACACCTGATCAAGTTTATTTCAAAATAAATAAAAAAGTAGAAATTGAAAACATATGGGCCGGTAGCTATGCTACCTTTGCCAAGAACGCGAATACGGATGATCTGTATGTATTTGGCCTAAATAACTATGGTCAAATTGGTACGTTAAGTATTGTATGAATTTTTAATATTTAATTTCAATCTTATTTTAATTTTTAATTTTGTATTGAATTGCAGGTCTCAAAAATTGCGACAAGTCCTTCCACCCTAAAGTGTCAGATACGTTTAGTGGACGTAAATGGGTTCAAATAAGCTCGGGACAGCATCACACTATTGCTTTAGACGATAAAGGGCAAGTGTACATTTTGGGAAGGAAAGAGTATGGAAGACTAGGTCTTGGCATTATGAGTGAAGATGCCACAGAACTTGTACTCGTACCCAAACTAAGTAATACCAAATGCATAGATGTTGCAGCTGGTACTGCTCAGTCTTTTGCTGTAACAGAAAACGGTGAATACTACAACCTCTCGACTAATCACACTATATAAAGTAAAAATTTATCTATAAGCTCGAAAATTTTGTTACAGGAAAACTATACGCCTGGGGAATGGGCTCCGAAGGCCAGCTTGGTACTGGAGAAGAAGACGATATTTTAGAACCCAGATTAATTGAATCCAAATATGTGAAAGAAGTTGAGGTTCTTCGAGTTTCTGGCGGAGGACAGCATACTATTATTCTTGCAAAGAAAAGCATCGAATAATTATTTGTATATTTCAAAACTAGGATCAAGACATACATTTTAGTTAGTTTTTTCTTTCAATGAATTCTAGATTACTTAAATACTTATTTATTACGGAAATACGTAATTGGTGGTATCAAAACCAAATGTCAATTTCAACATCTGAGTGTGTTGTTGCTTTGATACACACTGGTGTGATTATTATTTTTAAAAAATTTAGTGACATGGAAATTTATAGTGAATAATCATATTTATCGTAACAATAATGTGAAGAGATAAAGTTACTACTGATTCGAGGCGTACGATTCTTACATATTATTTATGGTCATCTACGGACTTGTGTATCAACTACTGCATGCCCAAACCTTTGAATAAGTTGTCTGCACGATTAGTACGATGATAGTATACAAATGTAATTAATTGTATAAATGTATAAAGATTTTAATGAACTTGTTACAATATTTTGAATTGTAAGATTTTTACAACAGTTATCATTTTGTTTGTTACTAGCAACATCGTATCTTAAGTGCAGGAGCTAGATATTATCTGACTATTTTGTCGGTATCTTTTTTTGATGTATATATGCGATTATTTGTGCCCTTACATAAATGAATGAAAATTTGTACTTTGGTTAAAGTACGGTATTATATTTTTAGCATTTTGTGACTCTTTGAAGGATGTTGAGACATTAATGTGAAACTGTGCCTTGCGATGTGAAAATATCCATCTCTTGTAAAATAGTGTTTTTAATAAAAAATTTTTGTATTTAGTACTATGAAGCTATTGTTTCATTTCTCGTATTGATGTTGGAGCCACATTTTTTTAAAGATACCCCGCAAACTTATTAAAAACTGATTATAAATGTTTCTTATTCATTGTCAAAATGTTTATTACTATATCGAGACATGATTTTTTTAAAACCGTGTAAGTTTGATTACAAAGAAATTATAGCCATGTATCAGTGACTGAAGATCCATTTTAAATCAATGATAATAATATATTATTTTAAAGTCCTGAAAAAGAAATAAACGGTAATATTATGCAAAAAAATAAAATCCTCTTTTGAAAGTCACAAAATTATTTTTACAGCCTTTATTGTTTTGTTACTTTTCAAATGAAGTATGTAAAATGCAATGTTAGT